ATTGATTGTATTTATTTAGTGTATTATTAAAGAATAAGTCGTTTTATTTAAAACATGCAATTGATTTTATTTACAAACACAATTTATAAAAAAAAGTTACAATTTATTTAAGTTAATTTAACGCCAATAGTGTTAAATCACACAAATAGTGTTAAAGTCTGATTTAGACTACATTTTAGAATACTTTGTGATGACTGCATGAATGAGTTGTAGAGTTAGTGACTTAAATAGGGGCCAAATTGTGTCACTTTAGGATCACTTATTAATGTCTAGTATTTTGGGAATGTGTAATATGAAATTAAAATTAAAGTGAATTTATTACAAATATAAATAAAATAGCCAACAATAAATTGTAATTAAATTCTAGGTAAAAATCCTTTATACCTTTACATATTGTTAATACTGTTATATAATTTTATTTGATAAGTTAATAACAGTATTAACAAATATCTAAAAATAAATAAATGCTAATTTAATTAAAATTAATGCAAATAAAATATTTTATTCAATATTTATATGTAAACAATTGGAAAAAATAATTATATTAATATTACGTTTCAAAATATACCCACATCAATTTATGAACACTTTAAATCATTCCAAACTCGAGGGTATTTCTCACGAATCCATTGATTACGACTATCGGCGCAATCGATATTGTCGTCAATCACTGTATTGTATGGGGTTTGGGTTAAAAACACGTCAAAAGTACCATGATCCAAATATCTGAAAGAGTCCCATGCTAACTTTATGGTAGTCGCGCATCCGATCGACTCAAACGCCCGGCTGTCAAACGGGTCCTTCACTTGAGACTCAAAACTTATTTGCAAACTCTGATCAGTGGTGTTGTGGCCGACGGTAAAGGCGTGTTCGGCCACCCGTTCTATTCTGGACGGGCCGTCAAATGACAATATTGTCAATGAGGGTAAATCGTTGAATGCGTTGGCAAATATAGCGCTTAGCGAATTTTTATAAAAATAGATCTTGCTCAATTTGCTTAAACCCGACAAACTCAACGATGGCAGCGATTGTACGCCAGTGTTATCTAGATATAGATATTGCAACGCTGTCAACGTACGGATTGCGCCGAATAGGTTGGACCTGTTTGTAGCCAATTCGGTGACCGAGCAATTGTGTAGAGATAGATGGGTTATCGTAGCGGCCGTCCCGTCAAACGCTGACTCGTGGATGCGTTTTAAGTGATTTTTATTGTCGATGTATATTGTGGTGAATTGTATGCCACCGAACGCCTGGGCCGGCAGTTCCGCTACAGCTGTGTTATATACAAATAGTCCTCTAAATTGTTTCCTATCGGCCGGTAATCTACGGCTCAGGTCAGCGAATGTAGCCTTTATATCAATGCTGTCGCCATCAGAGCAATATATATCGCAATATGTTAGTCCACCAGAGTATGTACATGGTGATTTAATAGGCACATCAATGGGACAGTCGCCAACAACTTTGCCAATTAAAGCAATTAACGTTAACAGAAATACTGTGAAACAATAATTATGATAATGTTTAGATATTGTTTACTGTTATAACTGTTATAACTCTACATATCATTAAATATCATTACTTTTATGTTGCATTTGGCCAGCACCACACTCATCAACCAGTATTAAACGATTTAGTAAATAGTGTAATATAAATACAAATACTTAAACATAACCCACTTTTTAACATCAATTCTACATGCTGTCGTTAGTTTAATATTGATATGGGTAAAATATTGCAGTTATCTTTAAGATATATTGTAATACAGATCATAACACCGGATATTTACTATAGAAACTTATCAATGGTAATGATAGATAATTATGATTATACATAACCTTAACATTTAAGTTAATCTATGAAGTATATTAAATATTAAACAAAATTAACTTATTATTTTATGCAGAAAATTAATTATATCAGCCTTTTAAATAAAAAATTTAATAATAAACAATTACAATCATTTAATTATTGTCCAACTATTAATGTTAACATGTGCCAAATTTCACAGGCATGTTTATTAGAAAATTAATTGTAATAGAATTATAAATACCCATGTTAATTATAAGAAATTTGCAATAATTTATTTATAATTTTTAGTTACTTTAATTAAATAGCCAGAAATAATTGCAATTTATTTATATAAATTCATAATGTGGTCAGTTTTATGCTTAACTTTAAATAAATAATTGAAAAAAATACAATTATATTAATAATTCTATTTAAAATGTACCCACATTAATTTATTCACATTTTTAATCCACCCAAACTCGGCGATAATTATCGCGAATCCATTGAATGTGCAATTAATACACACGGGATAAGAAAAAGCCCTTTCCTACTTAAATATTTCATGTTACAATAAAAATAATTAGTGGCTTAAAAATAATGAAATTGATAAGTTAATAAATATTATTAATAATTATATGCCTAATCAAATGTTAGATAATATTATTTTCTTTATTATCATTTATATTTGTTCAAAAACAATCTATTTGATTATTAATATTTCAACGGACCATGCCAGGATTACTAAAAGTATAACATGCACTTTTTTCAATGTACTGCCAGATGAGTTATAAAAACATTAACCGTCAACACTAATAATTTATGTATTTATTATTAAATACTAGTAGTTTGAAAGCATTGTTTTCATGCCATTAATTTATTATGTTGTAAATGACAATTTAATATCCTGGTTAAATAACAATATCTTCATATAAATTAAACTTTGAACAATTTAATTATCTGTTTAGAACGCATTTCACAAAAGGCTTTAAAGGAGCTAGATAAAACACTTGAATAATATTCCATATTAGGATATGGTGAACGTGATTGATATTAAAATTTTAATTACCTTTAGACTTAATTTATTCTATTTTCTATTAATAATCATAAAATAATTGTGAAATATTATCATATAAAGTATGTTTAATTGAGATATATTACAGATGTTGCGATTAAAACAGTTTAGCAAATACTGTATATAAGGGGTTGTGATTGAAGTCAGAAAAACATTATTTTATTTTGCAAATTGAACATATTTTGTATCAATAAATATAAGTTTCCAAATAGCTAAATAAAATTACCTTATTTATTTAATAATGCATTTATTTAGCCTATCGTTAATTATTGCAATTATAGGCAGTGGGAGCGAGCTCATTTACGGCTACCAGCATGTTGATTTAACCCTACAACCAAACGCTGTGGGTAAGGATGTGACGGAGGCAACGGTACGAAAAGTGAACTCGCTCAAAATAGTGGCCGACGACCACGAGTACTTGCTGAGACTGGCGTACGTCGAGTCACAATTTGGTGACAAACCATCTAGGTCATTTGGCACGGCAAACCTAACAGGTGGCATTTGGCAAGTGAGCAACGAGGTCCTATTGGCCAGCCAAGACACCGTTGCCACGCCATCGTTGACCATGCTCATTTATAAGATATCGGCCAAATTTCGCATTAATTGGCACGATGTGCGCGCGGCCGATTTGACCAAGCCACTTTATTCAGCATTGGCCGCACAGCTATACACCAAAACACTGGCCGAACCCATACCAGACACTATGGCCAAGCAGGCAGACTATTGGGCCAAACATTATCACCCAGGTGGCTCGGCTAAGGTATTCACCGACTCAGTCACTACATTGCTAAAGAGTTTCGTGTGTCGCACGAGCGAGGACAGTTGCTTCGTGCTTGATGGGTCGGGCAGTATTGCCCCAGATGATTTTGAAAAGGCTCGCAAATGGATCAGGGACAGAATCGAGGACTTTTACACCCCTGAAATGAGCAGGTTTTGTTTGGTATTGTTCTCGGATACAACCCAAACCATATTTAAGCTAGATGATAGGTAACGTAATTTGATATTTGTTAATTGACAATGCATTTTTTGCGCTCATAGTAGAAAACTTGTTAAAAATCATAATTTATACTTACAAATTAGAATTAAAATCTAGCATATTTATATTAAATTGCTTAATATTAATAATAGACTAACCAAGCCACAAGTTCTGGCCAAGATCGATGGTATGGTACAGCCCCAGAGTACAACCAACACCCGGGCCGGCATGACTGCCGCTGAGGACATATTTAAAGCATCTGTGCAAAGGCTTGGCGTTCCCAAACAGATCATGGTATTGACCGACGGCCAGTCCAACGATGGCGTACAGCCGGCGCCCGGATTGGCCAAAGCGATGGGCATTCAGACCATGGCGTGGGGTGTGGGCCCTAATGTCAATCAAAAGGAACTACTTGAAATTGCCAACGGCGACCCTGCTAGTGTTGATTTAATTAATAATTATGATTCACTATTTGAAAAAACGTACAAGTTTAAAACAATGAAATGCAGCATGGCACAAAAGCCGCCAGTTGACACTGAGGTGGCAGACAATTTGCTCAAGGGCGAAAAGAGATTTTATAATTATCAATTGGGCGCAAACGGCATAACTGTTAATGTAGGCAATAAAAATAGCGGTCAGGTTACTGGTTATTTTTCGTTTACCCTGACCAATCCAACGGCAGCCGAAAATGATGGTCAGTTTACCGGATCGGCTAATATAGTTAAATCTGGTGCCACTGAAGTGTTTGTGGCCATAGAGGGTTCAGCTCCCGGTGACAGCCATTATT